TCAAAGCAATTAAATGTTTTTCAAGATTATTTAATTCTTTTAGTTCAAATGGAACTTCACAAACTTTCAACTTATTCACGATTGCTCGACTTGGCATTTGTCGCTTCTTTATTTTATCTGAACATGATTTACAGATCCATTTGTTTTGCCCTGACGATGAATAATTAAAGTAAGATTGAATACGTGTTTTTATTTCATCTGACATGTTTTGTTTTGTATACTTTTTTTCAACAAATGGTACAACCTGATTACGAAAAAGTGCTAATTGACATGATACGCAAACATAATCGGGTCCTTCTCGAACAATTTGTCGAAATCTATTCAAGTTATCCATATATAAATTTCTATGTTTAGCTGCATATTTATGACTTTGAATAATAGTATATTTTTTCATAACACGTCTGCTATGATTATAAAGTCGTCTTAGATTTTTTCTCTCTGACGTGTTATTATTTCGATACCAATTCAATGTTCGTTCAATTGTTCTCAATCGTATCGACTTATTAGATTTATATTTTTCCGAAAATTGTGTTTTCATACGTTCTTTATATTCATCACGAAATGCTTTATTAGTATGATATTTATTTAAAATATGAATATTTGATTGTTTTTTAACTTTATCACGAAACGTTTTATTAGTATGATATTTATTTAAAATATGAATATTTGATTGTGTTTTAACTTTATCACGAAATGTTTTGTTAGTATGATATTTATTTAAAATACGTCGGCTTGCACGTGCGTTATTTTTGACACGAAAATTTGTGTTCTTATGGTATTTTACTAAAATATGTTCTTTTATCCGAGACTTTTGTTTCTCACGAAAATCATTGTTATTATGATATTTATCTCGAAAGTATTTTATTGCACGTTCATTTTCCTTTTTACGAAATAAAACATTCTGATATTTTGTTTTGAACCAAATGATTTGTCTGGTACGCTTTAAGATTGATTTTTCATTGCTAATAGTAGCTTCTATTTTTTTTTTATTTCGAATCTGTAGTTGTCTATTCCGTTCATTGTCTAGACGAGAAACTTTTGATACAAGTTTTTTAATAACATCTTTAATGATTTTGTAATCATCAAATTGCTCTTTCATCTTGATCACATCAGAAAATATAGCTGGCATATCTTTATTAACAAAGTTGACGCAATCTGACGGAATTGAATCTGCTTTTAGTTGCCGCTTATAGGCTTCTTTTCGTTTTTTTACTTTTGATGAAGTTGATGTTTTACGAACCATATCTGATATAATGATATGTGATTAAATAGCTAAAATTGAAAACAATTACCGTTTCTCGTTGAGACTAAGCACGTATGTAAACTAAGCACGGCTTGAGCTCCTAAGTGAGAAACGTTTATATCTCTTAACTTGATGAGATATTCAAAAGAAAAGTTTCTTTAGAACTAGATCTTCTTTGTCACTAAGCGAAGATATAGTCGAGACTAAGTAAGAAACTTCAGAAAGTCTAAAACTAGGCGACTTTCTTTAAATGAAACTTTCAATTCGTTGTTTTTTTGTTGTGTAATAATAATTACAATCAAAACAGAAGTTTCTTTCGAGCTAGATCTTCTTTATTACTAAGCGAAGATATACTCGACAGTAGGCAAGAAACTTCAGAAAGTCAATAACTTGGAGAGTTTCTTTTAATGAAACTTTCAATTTAATATTGTTTTTTTTTATGTAATAACAGTTATGACGAATGAAATCTAAAATAAAATTAAAAAAAAATACAAAATCGATAAGATAATGTGAGGTAAAGTATTTAAACGTATTCAATGCAGTCCTTAAAAAACCATTAAGACAAATTTTATTTATTTATCTAATTAATTCTAGTAGACATATGAAACTATAACTATGAAACTTTTCAGTACATGAAAAACGAAAGATCAATAAACAATACCACTTTCTCCACAAAAAGAAAAAAGCCATTGATACTTATGATAAACAAATACAAAAAAAAACAGAAATAACTTCGTTCCTCTTCCACCATATCGAGCTTCTTGAGTCGGAACACCTTCACCATATGTTGAATGATTATAAAAAACTGACCGATAACCACTTGATTGATAACTTGTTGACGAAACAGCTATTGGATATGTTGGACGAAATGTATGTAGAAAAGGACGATATTTCTTTATTCTAAACATTTTTTCCATTTTTAAAAGATTATCATAATCAACTACAACAACTTTTGCCATTTTAATTGATTAACAAACAATAAAAGGAAAATTTACTGCACCAACATGAGAACCTGCGTTACCAATACGAAGACGGAGATTACTATAAGGTCGAAATATTTCATTAATCTAAATTTTAAATAATTTATTAATAAAAAAAATTGTTCTTTTCTTTTTAAATTCTTTTTCTATTACTTGAGTTGAAAGATTTATAACAAATATTTCTTGATCATCGGTATAACCAGTGGAAAGATAACATTCTTCCCTATTTCCATAACCCAAGAATCATCATAATAATCATTAACATCTTATAGATCACTGCATCCTATTCGATTATTATTTCCACCAAATTTTATTACTTGTTTATGTTATTTGATCCGTTTGATTTGATTTCTGTTGTTATTGATTTTGGTTGACTTTCAGTTTAAGTAGTTGGAAGTTTTTCTTTTTAACCAATTCTATCTCGGTATGGTTTCGATTTTGATGTTTGCTTTTTTCTTCAATTTTTGCTTGTTCAATAAATGTTGTTACTGATGGAGTTATATTTCTAGTTAAAGAAACATTCATTTCAGCTTTTACTTTTTTTTCCTATTCATCGTATTAGCAAAAAATTCTCAATAATGAGAAGCCGTCAGTGTTATTCATGTTTCAATCAATGCTGATGAAGTTGTTGTAGTGCGAAGAATTTTATATAATGTTACTTAAAAAAAATTACAAAATTTTTTATTCGGTGATTAATCAGTTCAATGTGTTAGTGGAATACAATAACATTTTTTTTGTTTATTAAATTTGTTTTCAGAGAAAACAATTAATTTCGGAACAACTGTTTTAACATCGAATTGTCATATAAAGATTATTTCAAGAGAGAAAATCTCATTGGGATATTTCGAGACTTTTCGAACCGTTCCCTATCATTTGCAGTTATTCGAATGACGCAGAATGAATTTTTTTCCTTGTGGATTATTTCAAAATAACACATAGATATATAGCAAGTCTATCCTTTAAATTAATATCGATACCAGACTTAAAGGTAATCGAATAAGAAGTCAGTTGATCGAGAATGCAAACATCTAGTAATGGGCGCTTTTCATCAGATCATAGTCAGACTCAGTAGAAGACATAGGTTTATAGAAAATTTAACGATTAAACAATTGATTATAATAGTTAGTTTTAGGAAAGCTCTGAAACGAAACATCCATTTTCTTATATAATCTGAATGAATCAAGCTGAAACTTTTAGCATATATATCCCTGCTGTAAGGCGATGTCTTCTGAAAAATATGAACGGTAATTCTTATAATGCCGTATAGTGGTTATATAAATGAGAAGAGTCGGCGAAAATTTCATAAAGGAAATAATGTACGAGATACATATGTTACAGCCAATCTCATAGACTTTTTAGGAGAAATATATTGCTTAATTATATACTTAATTGAAATGTCTGAGATTGAGCTTTGGATGAATTCATGGAATTTCTACCATTTCGGGGAAAAGTGGGATCCCGTACCAGTGTTCTAAAAGAAGTTTTTTTTTCAGAAAAGTGATAGAAATCCGGTGAATTTGCCCCTTTATCGAATATATTAATATTTGGATTAGTTAATAATAATTGTTTACATTTTTCTTGTGTTTGATTATCAATATTTATTAGATATGAATCGTTATCTATATTATACTAATATGTTAACAAAATCGAATTGACTTTATTACGAATCTATAGAAAAAAGAATTTATTCTTGTAGAATTTAGTGAAAACGAAAATATTTGAAATCTCATACTGATTTACTAATTTTTTAAAATTTTCACATTCAAAGAAAAATTGAACATATTTTTTGACTAACGTAGGTTCTTTTTCTATAAAATTCTACAAATGCATTGAAACCAATATCATTATTAAGTAATTTTTCAAACTAACTGTTCATGATGTCGTTCATTTAAGTCAATTGAACTTTCCTTAATACTTTGTTTCATGTTGAAATGATAATTCATCTTCATTGTAAATTTCTGTTAAAGAGTGATAAGAAGAAAAGTGATCACATAATTTAAAGAAAAAGTTATAAACATACAGAACCAGTTATTAAAATATAAATTGAAGCAAGATATGCACGAAAATATTCAATAGATAGTAAAGAATCAATAAATGAACGTGATGGATGATACTGAAAGTTATTTGTATCAATTGAATATAAATCGTTAACAAATGAATGACAGCGAGGAGCATGATCAATACATAAAAATTGACCTGTTGCTGTTCTTGATCTTATACTAGTTCTTTCTAATTCATTATGAAGTAATTTATCATCAACGAAAAATGATGAAGATGAACATGGTATTGAATAAAAATCATCATCTTCACAAAATCTAAAGAAGAAAAAAATTTTATTGAAATTAATGAATGAATATAAAATTTTACTCAGGTGGTGGTGAAATATATTGTTCACGTTGGTCATCTTCATCATCTAATTTTTTTCAATTGAACATTATAATGGATTTGGTGATGATCCCATAAACGATTGACATGGTGTCCCTGTTCTACAGAAGTTAATATTTGAATCAATTGATATTGCACAAGAGCTATTTGTTAAACATGTATCTACAAAAAAATATTGTCATAAAAAAACTGCTACATCGATTTAATCAATGATATATGAAATATGAGACTTTATGAAAATCTCCAACCCATCATAATTTTCCGCACCGAACCTGAGATTTCTATTTCAAAAAGGTTGATGAAATCTATAGGCATTCTTATTCTGTATGAAATTGTTTTCAGCAACTTCCAAAATTCAAAAAAGAACTGAACATATTTTTACATTGGCTTCTACATAGTTCCAATTTCAACTGGTAATGAAAGAAACTTAATTTGTTCTTCAGTTTTTACTAAATTCCACAGTCGAGAACATCAGCTTGATAATTTCTATAGTACATAGAAAGCATTTTATTGCAATATGTCAAATACCGATATAATTAATATAAAATATGGCCTTCTAACAGAGTTCGTTGGTTTCAAAATAATTTCAATCGAGTATTTTAGTCAAAATCTGATAGTTGCTCTGAAGATGCGAGATACTTTTTATCGGTTATTTGTATTCTGTGACTAACACATCCTACATATTTCTCACGAAATCTTGGTGATGATATTATAATAATTAAGTCATAATTGACTGCTAATTTTAGAGCATAATCAATTGAATTGAGTCTGAGACCAACCTGATGAGCTTTACCACCAAAATGCTATTGAAAAACATCAACTAATTAAAAATTTCTTATAAACGCTTATGACAAACCTGGTTCATCTAATCTCTTTATTTTATATTTATTTTCTATAGTACATTGATGATTAAAATGATGTTTTGTTCTAGTAAACAAATATTGAACAATTCTATTTCTTTCATCTACTGAGGATGCATGAAAACCAAATAAGTAAGTTGAATTATGTTCATAATTAAATTTGTTAATATTTTCATCAATTTTAATTAAAGAATAAAGTATAAATGCAAATAATGTTGGTAGAGTAGAACTAAAAGAATGTAACTTAAATATTTTCAACTTGATAATTTAAAACACAATGGATCCATTTGAAATTATTTACATTGAAAACAAAATTCAATTTTATTTGATGTTGAATTTAATATTTAACGTTTAAAAATTTTTGATTTTGTCAAAATCTAAAAAGAAAAATATTTTGTTGAAATTAACAATTGAATATAAAACTTGCCAGATCCAATTTTATTTAATATTGAATTTAACATTTAAAATTTAAAAAATTATTCATTTTCTTTTAGGTAATTCTTTTCAATTTTCATTATTATGATGAATATCAAAATAACTAACATAGTCGATTGAAGAAATGTATATCATGTTTAATGATTAAATAATGATGATGAATGTGAATCGATAAGAGTAACACCTGGTGTTAAAGATGAATACACATCTTTCAATAAAATGATATAATTTATACATGATAACAAGTAACGCGACGCAAGCGTCGCTAACCCTCTACTGAAAGGATGTGATTTCCTTGAACATATGGTACTCACGAAGAAGATCATAGAACTAATGTGCTGGTATGCATCTATAAAAAGATAAATAGTTCTCGTCACCATGACCCGCTTGCTAATTGATTGGGTTTGATTTAACCATCGTGGGGTGTGGGTGTGTGTGTGGGGCGTGTGGGTGTGGGGTGTGGGTATGGGTGTGGGGTGTGGGCGTGTGTCTTCACTTCATCCGTACTCAGACACACCCCACATCCACCCACCCACACTCCACGATGGTTAAATCAAACCCAATCAATTAGCAAACGAGCCATGGTGACGACAACTATTTATCTTTTTATAGATGCATAGCAGCACATTAGTTCTGTGATCTTCTTCTCCGTGAGCACCATATGTTCAAGGAAATCACATCCTTTCAGTAGAGAGTTAGCGACGTTTGCATCGCGTTACTTGTTTTTTTGAAAAAACTCATCAAAGGATACCGCCGGATAAGATCGTCAATCTGCCACCCCATAGTTTTGACTTCCAGTAGTTTAGAAAGATAGAGCTTGAAATTCTGCACATTTCTGTATATTTATTTTGCTTTTAATTGAATGCTAAAAAAAAATTCTGGAGTCGGACTAGTCTGGGGGTCTATATCACTTTTAGGTATTTCTGACGATGAGTATGATACCCATACTTTTTTCATTCGTATAGCCAATATGAAAACTAATAGTGTAGATCGATGCAGTTTTTTACGCTCTACAAAATGATATATTGCTCAAGTTTTTCAATAACTTTTCTATCAGATAATATAGGGTTAAATAGGTCCAATATTGGACCTATTTAACCCTATATTATCTGATAGAAAAGTTATTGAA